AAAGTCGACTGTACAGAAACTATCTTAAATGGCTCCCGATAGGTTAGGTTAACTTTTACGCAAACGTTTCCTCTGACCACATCCAATTTACAATCGTATAGMTTAGTGTAACAAACATACACATACATGATAGAATAATATATTTTCAATCAATAGCTATAAGTGAGTCCAAGCAAGTTCTATGTTAGAGATTCTGCGTCTAAATATTTTGTGGAAGTTGATAGTCTTCATTAATATAACTTTCTAAAATTAAATTATTATACGTATTGGTTTAGTATCTGTAGGAACTATATCAACTGAGCTATCATTTACATACTCAGATGGTAAAAAAGCTCAAACGACATTTTTTTTAGACATGTCTAGCCTTATTCCTGTGTTATTTATTTTAATTAAGTAAATAATATCTTAATTATATTTTACGATTCRGCAATCATATTAAATCGATACAAAATATTTAGTACAGTTGGAAACGCTTCTTCGATTTTAATGTGGGCACTTTTTCAAAATCTAAATGTTTGTATAAAAAAAACTATATACTTACATAAAATATCCACACATATATTTATTTTATATATATATATCAAACTTGTTATGACATCAGAAGTAAATAGAGCTGAAACGTGTCGCGTTTTGTGATGAAATGACCATTTTTAAATCCTGAAAATGTATTTATGATATTATACAGACAGAATATTATAGAGTATAATTATAATATTATTAGATAAATAAGATAGATATATGATAAAATCCGTAGTGTCTAATTATATATTATATTAATTGTGAAGTAAACGAGGTGATTAACAACTCGATGAGTGTTGATAACGGAATGCTTGTTTGAGAATCGACCTAAGGTTTATTAAGCAAAAAGTCTACTTGTATAACTTACGTGTATAGAACATAAGATAGTAACATAATTATATACATAAATATATATATATATATATATAGGTATGTACGATGCTTATATATTAATAAATATTATAGTGTATTGGAGATCTAGCTACAGTGCGCGTCGTACACTTACTCATATATTATATATATTGATAGAGTGTTTAGAAAATATTTGTAGTGCACCAAGAATCCAGCAATTAGACATTCTTTAAGAAAACCAACCATCCAGATGACTTATTCTCACTGCTATACACATCATGTATGCCTATAAATAAATAATATATAAAGGCGTACTACAGCCGTAACAATAATATTTATTACTTCTTTTATATTAGAAACTCTCCTGGATAAAAGCTCAACCTCTAGAAAACCGTTGATGGTGGTCCGTCGAGGTTGAACTTTACAAATGTTTTTCTACGCACGTTTTTATTTATCGRGCATTTTTACTGAGGAAATATTTTACGTTCCCTATTTATATAAATGCAATGCGAAACGCGTGCGCATGTTTGTGACAGTAGGAACAGTTTAGGTAATGTATTATAATAACTACTATATTATAGCTATCTACCTCCTACTATAATACAAGCTAATACTCTCATCGCAAATAAATATGAGGATGTAATTTGTACAAACTAAAATTGCTTATCTTTTAACCAAAAAAATGTTTAATAAGTATGATTAGAAATTCTATCTATAATATTAAATTATATATAATACCTATATTTATATTTTTTTATATTGAAAATTATTATTAAATTTACGTACAGTAAAATTTAGTTAGACATGTGAAAGAAATGACAGTTGAAACCATAAATATTAATAATGTAAATTTTATTAAATTAATTTTTATCTTTTTATAAATTCAATTTAGGTACAATATTGTTATAGTTCGTTTCAGTCAAACTTTAAATGATAAAAAAATAAAAATAAAAAGGGATTTCGTTTTGCTGTATAGTGGTATAATACTATATATTTATTTATATAATATTTTATCATATTTAAAAGAAAATAGTGATACCAATCATTCAAAAAAAAAATTCAATAAATATAAGTACCCACATCGCCAGTATGAACACTGAACAACAATATCTATTGATTATTTCTAATAATACTTGATAATTTAATAATACTATGATAATCAAATAACATTCATAAAGCTAACTTAAAATAAACAAGTAAAATAAATTACTATTTCTTCTTAAATAATTGATTATTGAATCTGCGAGCCAGGAATAAATAAATTAGTAAAAGATTTAAATGTATTCAACTGATGAACATGATATAATTACAAAAAATTAGGGACTTTCTATAGATATATGGTAGGTATCAAGACGTATACTTGGTTATTGTTAGTAAGTTACTTTAAAATAATATGTGTTAAATTTTAATTTAACGATATATCATCGTGTTGATAGACAGCTAGCATGAAAACCGATATTAATTCTAAGGATATTATATATTAGATTGAACTAATTTTTACTAAAAACAAATTGAATTCATTTAACTATGATAAATCATATAATATTAAATATAGTTGTAATTTATTATCAACTTGTAATTAAAAGTGAATAATGCACAACAGATTTTTATTATTAGATTTAATATTTTTAAAATTTAATTGTGTGTAGTGAATAATATACAGCGWAGTGTTTCAAGCTCATATAAATAATATTTTTTTTACAACAAAATTAACTAAAAACAGTAACATTTCGTTTGAACTGATACAAAAAAAATGTGATGGATTTGATAATGTTTTTTTTTTTTTAATTCATAAATAAATCACTGTATATACCTGCTATTTTCACCAAATATTTACATTAGAATTATATAAACTTATACCTATACCCTTATATATATATATACGAGTATGTAGACTATATAACTTTATAAAATGATAACTTAAATATTTTGATAGCTGTGGATTTCAAATGTAATATATCTAATACAATGTTTTCATAAGTTGTTCCTRCAGTAACTTATAATATCAAAAACACCATAACATATATAAATTAGAGTTTGAAACTTTTTCAATTAATCGTATACCAATATATAAATAGCTTAAAATTAGTCTAAAATATTTCCATTTTTTCAGCTATTTATAGTCATTTAAAATTTTTTTTTCTATTCATTTTGATTAAAAAATGTATGCCTGGTCAAAATAACTGAAAACTATTTAAATTCCAATCAATCAGGTATTCACTCCTAAAATTACGATTTTAGTTGTTTTAATTATTTTCAAAGTGTATATTTAGTGTAACAACATGATGTATTTATTTAATTTTTTACTTAAATTATTATTATTATCAATATTTGATAAATATATTTGACAAAATATATTATTAAGTCTTTATAGACTTTAAATTTTTCAAATTTTTCTTATCTAGGTGTTATTACTTTTAAATGTCAATAAAAACTTTGACCTCAATTAATAAACATTAAAATTAAATCCAAGAATTATTTGTATTTTAGAAATTTAATAAGTATTTAACAAAATCTTATTAACATCAATATACATGATATATACTAAACTGATAAATGGACATCGAGATACACTTAATCCAATGTTTATCCTATACTTTGGCATGTCAACAACTTATACAAATAACCGAACAAAAATCTATTCTTTCTGAGAAAATATCTACATAATTCTAAAGAGAATTTCACGTCATACTTTGCTTCATGAGTACACAATTATGTATATATTATATATACATATAGTACACATAATTTAATTGGATAAATTATATATATTATTATTTTGGTTATGGAAAAATTTTTTGTCATCGCATTGTGTTCATTGTGTGTATTGTGCGTGCATTGTTAATTTGTTCTATAGATTATTATTACTATAAGTAAGTATTCAACAAAGAAAAGTCGATTTTACTTACTTATTATTATTTCATATGCTGCATGTTATATGGCTATTATGTGATACAAGAGCTTAAAAATAAATATGAACGATGTTTTCGTAAGTTGGGATTGTATACTATACTACTTATACCATTAGTTTTGTCACATTACGATTCTGTAGTATAATATTATATGGATATTCACTTATTGTGTTTGAGTGTATACAACATAACATAACAATAGGAATGAGTTTGAAATTTTTTTCTTATTCTTTTTCATAAAACTTTGATAAAAGCTGTTATTGAAAATAATAATATATTTGATAATGTTGAATTGTAAAAAGTTCGTATACAGAATAAAACAGGTCTTGCGTGTGTCATAAAAAAAATAACATATAGACAACCTGTCTAAATTATGTAAGGCAGCCATACGTCGAGTATAATTGTTTCTATACAACCACCTGTAGGTAAGGTGTTTTCAATGAACTRAAAACCTGTAGCACGTGTGCGCACGTTGAAAAACTTTTTTATATTTCAATATTTTATAGATACATTATAATAATAATTATAATATATCTATTATTTGCGTTACTTAATATGTCTCCTATACAAGAAAWATGTATGAGTCACAAATATTTTTTCGTTAGTATGTGTATAATTAAATAGCCACTATGACAACAAAAATCATAAAAAAATTGGGCAAAAACAAAAGGTGTGTCTAGGCTAACTTATGTTAAAAAAAGTTTTGTATACTTCATATTTCACATATGTCATATTTTATTTTTAAAACTTTAAAATATTAAGATACATAGGAGGGGGGATTTCAGAATAGGACCACATGGTTATTGACTATTGAAGAAATTTTTTACTGACAGTACTTTAATAAACTAATAATAAAATATTTTAAGTTAAATTGTAATATCACTTATGGTTTATTGACTAGGTATTGAATAAATTTACCACGTTCGACCAGTGTACGCGAAAGAAGTTTAGTAGCTCAATGGTAAAATAATATAAAATATATTGTTACATTTTTCCGAACAAAAAAAAAACTGTTTCGGGACGTTAACTACACGACTGGCTACACTACAATACTTGCCTTTTTCTATATTGTCAAGTGGTCAAATTAGCTTTTTTGCRCTTCAAATTAATGTTTCTCGTTTTATTACAAAAGATTATACTGTCCACTGAATACTCCAAACACTCTATATACATGTATAGAGAGAGGGAGAAATAATGTCGTACTTATATTGTTCACAGGATGACAGATAGTCCGGCCGGAGACGTGAGACGGATTCGTCTTCGGAATGATTGACGATACGGTGGTGAATGACGCGTAGAAGAAACGCCCGGAAATCGGMAGTGGAAGAAAAAACTGTGGTGTCAGGTTCGACAGATCGCCCAGAAGGATAGATTCGAGGAGAGAGGAACTGCTCAGAAAAAATAAATAAATATTATTTTGCCATCGCATTAGAATCCGTACGGGGAAACACGAAAGGGGGCAAAAACAGAGTAGGTTTACGGCTGAAATGGCCAACGGCAGTGGTGGTGGAAGTGGCGGTGGCGCGGGTGGCGGCGGCGGTGGATTTGAGGCGCTGCAAAACGTCGTACCCAACGTGTTTCCGCCCATATACATACCAACTGGTCCCGGATCTAACGGCACGAACGCCATCAACTATACCGAGGCCATCGAACGCGAATACGTTGAAGACTACGTTTTCCAGTCCGCTTTCTCGTTCGTCTATCTGCTCATATTCACGCTGGGCGTGTTCGGCAACGTGCTCGTCGTGTACGTAGTGTGGGCCAACAAACACATGCGCACCGTCACCAACATATTCATCGTCAACCTGGCCGTGTCCGACATCATGCTCTGTGGGCTGGCCGTGCCGTTTACGCCACTCTACACCTTCACCGGTAAGTGAATCGCATGTAACAGATTATCATCCGAATACGAGATACATAATAATAATATATCACATTGAATGCGCGTACACAGGTAATGTGGACGACGATATTTTATAATGTTCGAGTAGGTGCGCCTATTCACATTTTTACGACTGCAGTCAATTTCCGGACACTTAACTAGAACCAGGCACTGCACAGTGCACGCCGTTTTGTATTATCGGCTTCCCTCACCAACGCGGCAAACGCGTACCGTCTAAATCGTCTTTGTTCTATTACTGAACATGACATCGACATGTTTATGTTACGGGTGTCTTTCAATGCWTGGCTAATGTTTGTTTTAGCTTACTGTGAGATTCGGGGTAGAGCGATGTTCGTATTGGTGTTATTACAACGATATTGTTTTTTATTTTTATTGTGTCTGTCATCAACACCACCTTTTGGTGCAATAAAAATACGTCAATCGTCAAGTATAATTTGAGAGTGTTATCTATAGTAGAAAATAAAATCTATAGTTTTGAAAAAGTAAACAAAAATAGCCGCATTTTTTTAAAATAATTTGAAAACTTTTAAGCAAGTCGTAGAAAAAATAGAATATTTACGAACAAAGTTTTTAAAAACTGGCTACATTTTTTTTCTTTTTAATTTAAAAACTCATAGACGTATATAATTTCATTTTTCTCCAAATATTTATAGTATCATTATTACTAGTAGACATAAAATAGTTTTCAAAATATTAATGGTCTTGTTGTTTGAGGTGTTAAATTTGAATTTAATAATAAATCATGGCATGCAAAAAACAATTTGAGTACAGGGATACYAAGCGAAATATTGATCCACTACTACGCTTATCTAAACTTTTAATACTTATAAAGTACTAGTTTAAAATTTGATTTTTATAAATTGAAATACGCTGAATAATATTCGCTTTTAAAATATGATAAAAAAATTGTTTTATCATTTTAAAATGCAAAAGTTTAGTATAATGATTAGGTATAGAAATTTTTTTTTAATATTGTATGGAAATTAACTAAAAATTATGTAAAAGAAATATTTTTAAAAACGTTAGTGTTTACAGAAATTTAGAGTGCCTTTCATTAAATAAATCATGAAGTATTTATATCATATTATTGTGTCAATAAATTTTGAGCCAATATCGACTTATCATATAACGGTGTGCATAGGTTTGTGGTATAAGTAGTCTATAGCTTAAACAAGTCTTGATTAAAATGAATGTTAAAAATTTAAAAATAATTATTATTGTGTATATAAAACTATAAAAGAAATAACGCAAAAAATTTAAATTCCCACACTTAATATTATTAAATTACATCAAAACAAAACAAAAATTGTTATTTTTCATATAAGTAACGAATTTTATAAAAATATAAGGGTCTATACTCTATAATATTAGAATTGTGCTTGTATATTTTTAAAAATTTTTAGGTTTCAAATGGTTTTGGTTATTTTTTATATTCAAATAATTTTTATTTTGTTTTTAAGTATTTGAGGATCGATTTATTAAAACCATGAAAATATGCAAATTTGAATTTTATTAATGATGCTTGTAATATAAAAACAATAAAATAAATGTGTGCATTTAATATATTAGTCATTGATTTATTACTTACCTAATATACCTAAATAATAATAATAATTAATAACTTTGGTGAAAATTTTGGGACTTTACTAACACTGATTGTTTATCCTAAGATTTACCAAATCTCGTTTGTAAAAATCCGAACTACAAAAATCATTCGGGGTTTGACTAAACGATGTTGTGTACCCTAGATTTTACCAACAATAGTCGGCGAAACCTATAGGATTTACCGGTAAATCCTAGGTTTAACCAGTATTCGTACTTTTACCGTAATACATATATTATACAATATAAGTATTAACGAACCGTTTGATATAAATGTTTTTCTTAATGACCATAGAAGCAATAATATATCTAATATCTATAACCATTCCCATAGAAATAAATGGCTGGAGCTTATACATTTGTTGGCTATTGAACAAATTCACATAATTTTTTGGAGACTTTGGAAGAGTTTATTGCTTAGTTTTTATATTCATATAGTTGCTATAGGATGGCGCACACACAAATTTCATCATGGTTCACAACAATTGAATATTTTAGTTTGGATATAGGGTTGCTATTGTTTACCGAAATAAAATAGATTTAATATTATAATCCATATAATACATAACAATAAATACATGTTTTTAGTTTACATGGGTACTCAAAGACTACTTATTCATTTTGACACAAATTCTAAAGATTGCTCTTAGAGTTATCAAGAAAGTTAGAGAGTAGTTTGAATCATGTTCGAAAATATATCAAGCATTATATCTAATCTGCCATAGGTGAATTTATCATCTAGGTTGAATTAGTTCATTAAGTGAAGTAGGTACACTAAATGGAGTTACACTTATAGGTTATAATTATAGTATATTGTTATAGATAGTAAATATTCGTAGTGCTATACCTATTTATTATTCAATAATGTTCTTCCGGACAAAGCCTGGTTATTTAGCTAGTATTAAACATGAATAAATAAATATATTTTAGCAGTATTGTGGACTTAATGTTGAATAATATAACGGACGCTCGTCATATTATTTGAATCGTTTGAGATTATATGACGCAATCATAATAATACTGTATTCATTATGCTGTACAAAATATTATAATATTCAACTTTAAAAAAAACTTTTATGTATTTATTTTTCAAAATGATCTTTCGACAACCATTATAGCTTAGCTTGTATGGATTATTGTTAAATATGAGGGTTAAACGGAGCTTAAGAAGGACTCTACAACAACTATTATAACGAGGCAAGTCATTAAACTTTGATTTTTTTAGTTTTAGTTTTTAGTGATAATCTAAATATTTATACTTACGGACATGGTGATTAAAAATAAACAATCCTTGTCTATTATCTGTTAACTAAATTTGTATGAATTCATTATACTAACGTTAAATTTGTGCTGTCATTCATCACTTTTTTATTTGATTCAATTGTTAAATATGGAACAATTCATTGAAATAAAGAAATTATCAATTTTAAACTCAAAGAAGGTACCTATTCAATCATTTAATATCTGTGTCCAGGCATAATAGGCATATTTGAAGTTATCAAAAATTATAATTTTAATTTTTAATGTGGAAATTAATTGTTTAAATTGATTACGTATTGTGTTTAGTTTCTGAGCCTTTTAAAATTTAAAAAATGTCACAATATAATAGTATATTATAATTTTAAATTTATATTAATATATACATGTTAAACATATTATCTTATATATTATATAGTATATAGTATACAATTATACATGAAACATGATATTATAACAATAATACAACTTATACGATAGAATATTGTAGTGTTTCAATTTTGAACTGTCACTTTTTTGTGTGTGTGTGTTTTATAGTTTAAAAAAAATTATATTGTTTTTTTAACTATAACTAATTATGCAAAACGGGCTGATAAATAATTTTAGCTTTTAGGACATGACTTTGTATGTTAGCATTAAAACACAATTTTTGGTTTGATTTAAATATTACTAAGAACAATATCATACGGCTGAGCGATTTACATGTTTTTCTACTATTTTGTAGCTGGTCTATACTACACTCGTACACATTATACCATCATAACATATTTAATATGTATCCCACGTACAATCGGTTTGAGATTGATTATTTTTAATTGAAAAAAAATAATTTATCAATTTTAATTTTTTTTTTTTTTGCTGACTTTTCTAAGTTTATTCGGTTGTATAAATGACAACTATAATATTGGTGTCGGATCAAGTTGGCAGGTGGGTTTTGATGGGTTTTTGTGTGTGGGTGAGAGTAGTGACTCACCCAAATAATCTCGTGCCTGATAGTCATCAATTCAGTGTCTTCTTGTTCTCCGTTCAGGCAGGACCAAACCGTTAAATTGAATGATGATGGCGAGTGCACTTCTGGCGCCATGACGTGCTGTCCACATTGAGTGATTTTCAAATCCCGTACCATCATGACGGTGACGAGAGAATTTCATTTTTTTTTTATTGGCATTTCAGTAAGTCGTACGCTTTCAAATAAGATTGAATTTTTTCTTGTACAGTTACATTTGTATTCAAATCTTCACGTCGATATATCTACGTGGATTGTCAAAATATTTTCTCGTAAAATAGGTATTTGCAATTCGAACGATCAAAAAAGAAAAATATATCATAAAAATATTATTTTTGTTAGGTACTTATTTATTTATTTTCTATCGAATTAAACATAATGTCTGTACATACATAAGATATATTTGAGAACCAATTCTTAACAATGCGTTTTATAGATTTTATTAAATAACAAGTTATTCTACACGTTTTTTGTGCAATAAAAATAATGCAATGAACGCATCTGTAGTAACCTTTATATTTCTCATAATTTTCACTCATCGTCATCAAATAGTAGGTAAGACTTCGATCTCAGCTATAGTTATTAACTATTATATTATTACATATTATACTAGCCTAAAGATAGAAAGTGTCCGCGGATCTAGAGTAATCTCAATTCTGTCCAAATTATAGTTAAAAATTGTAATATAGTTAAATTTAGAATATTTTACTAAACTTTTTACATTTATTATAATCATGTGACATTTTGCTTTCGATCAAACAATGTGCAGAACAGATACATATTTTATTATTCTGTAAAATTATGTATCAGTATACTTTAAAATTTTGATTTAATAAAAACATATTCATATATAAATATGTAAAAAAACGGATTTTATGAATAATAATAATATAAAAAGTTGCGTTTACGGTCAAATATTGTGTTGTTACATTATGCTATTTTACGATACGGTTTGAAAACGTATCGTATTATTTTTATCTAAAATTGTGTTTTTTTATTGTTTATTTATTTTACCATCAAACAGTAATATCATATCAGAATCGGTTGTAGTCTGTAGACTTCGTGTATACGATATTATTATATTTGGAAGTACTCTATATTATT